GAAAAAAAAAAAAAAAAAAAAAAAGGATCAGTTGGATGAGGAAGATTCCAAGTTCAAGTCCAGTCTGGGTTCAATTCTCAGTACCACAAAATGAAGGAAGGAAGGAAGGGAGGGAGGGAGGGAGGGAAGGGGGATTTAAATTAGTATACCAAATGTTCTCTATAACTGAAGAGTTTATCTGCTATGGATGGGATTTTTTTATTTTTATATAAACTTTCTCCTGTAAAAGGACACTAGATGAAGAAGGAACTATTTCACATAGGTACCCCTCAGGTAATATGCAGTATCAGAAGGTGAGCCCTGAATCTTATTCTGGCAAGAATTTAAGTTTGAAGCTTTACTGATCATTTTTTATCCAAAAGGATGTTCTACTCTCAAATATGAAAAATACAAAATAACACATTCTCTATCTATACTTTAGATGTGGCTTATTAAACTATCTAGTAACGTTATTTTCTGAATTTCACCTCAGCAATCCAGCCAGTTCTATTACCTGTTTTCTTAAATAGCAACCATGATATAAAAATTACTTATACTCTAATGCGTATATGATATTTTTGATGTCTTCCTTACGTTTTCTCTAAGTATAAATTTCAGTATACCAAGAACATGCCTACTAATTTACATTCCATCATTTTAGCCAGGAAATATCAACCAGCTCATAATACACTAAGAAATGTCAGTCAAATACACCTCTTTTATCCTTTTTCCAGTCAACATCTACTTGTTGCTTTCATTCATTACTGAGATTTTTATTCTATTCTACTTTATGCATATACCAAACTGGATATAATTTTAGTATCTTTTTAGATGACATATGCGAGAAATTTTAAATGCTACAAAATGTGATTATTCTAATGGTGCTGATGTTTGCATAAATTTGACTAAAAACTACTCTTTAGGTCAAAAAAGAAAATCTTGCTGGATGTGTTACTGCAAGCCTGTAATCCCAGCACTTGGGAGGTTGAGGCAGGAGGATCGCTATGGTTTGAGGCTGCCCTAGGTCACACAGTGAGCTCAAAGCCAACCTGAACTACACAGTGAGACCCTGTCTCAAAAAAAATGAAAACAAAAACCAAACAAACTTAACCATATATTCTGAAATGGCTTTTCTGTTTGTTTTTAATATTACTAGAAATTTTCATTTCCTATTCATAGATACATGTGTGTCCTTGGCTAGGCTAGAACTTACGATTCTCCTGCTTTAGCCTCCAGAAGTACTGGGATTACAGGCTTGTATCACCATACCTGGTCCTCAGAAAATTCATAGTAATTTCAGTACTATTATTCATGAGAAAAAAAAATTCCTTAGAAAAAATACAGAAAAAGGACAAGTAAAATCCTGCTAATCCTAAAGGCTGTTACATGATGACTGAAAATAACAAGTTTTAGCTTACAGCTGAAAACATCAATTAAACAATAGTTTTTACTGGTTTACTAGAGTCCACTAAAGCTGATTACATGTATATGTCATTCAACTTGAGTGTTTCTTTTTTTATAAATTTGTACCAAAGACTGCCATGAGCTTCCTAAATAAAAGAATGATGAAAAAACTTGTCTTATCACTAAGAAAGTAATTCTCTTTCATGTGACTGATCCAGCTTTGGAAGTGTGAACATACTTGTTATGTAACACATATGTTGAGGCTTAGGTGACTGAAAGAATTCATTTTACCCACCAAACAACTGTGGGCTGAAACACACACGGCATTTCATCTGAAGGAACAAAAAACCATCCAATGGCTGCACTTTAAAAAAGCAATAAATAATGACACAGGAAAAAAAAAAAGAAATCACAAAATCCTTTCCTTAACAAATGCACCTTTTTCTCATAAAAGCAGAAAGGGCAAAGTCAAAAGTCAAACCAAAGTATTTTTAACATGGCTCTATATGCTTTTAAAAGGCACCAGAAAATAAAGCTCATTTTGATAGGTAAATTAGGTCATTATCTTTTCAAGATAATTTCTTCATTCTCATTCCATAACTAAGATCCATCTGACTGCACCCTAGAAAAAGTGGTTAAGAGTCCTATGATCAGTGCCAAAGGTATGGCTGATTAAATAGATATTTAAAGTTTTTGTCTTTCCTCTTAGAGGATTGTGTTCTGTGAGATTAGCATCCACATGGGTACATGAAAAAGAGCACTGATGGTGAAATAACAGTCTGCATTTTTTTTTTGATATGTGAATGTTTTAAAACCAGCTATCCCAACATCTACTGCTGACTCATTTCATATCAGACCAGCAGCCTCATCTTGGCATCTCCTATGGCTATGGAAGTACTGCACACACTGTTTCTCGGCCTTTTGGCCAAGTTCGAGTGGAAGTAGTGAACAGGTCATTGGATGGGGAGACGGATACAAGTAAGAGTAACATGATTAAGTACATGATTTGCCAACATTAATAACACCCATAAGACTGTAGGAAATTTACAAGATACCTTAGACTACAGAATAACTGTTATAACCTAGGTTCAAAATTTTAAAATGCATAGCTTCCTATAACTGTAATCTATAAATTGCAGTGTTTTTTAATACAAAAGGGATATAAAAAGTAAGGATAAGCATCTAAATCCAAGTCACTTGAGTGTGTTTACCAATGCTTATACTAAAAACTGTCACCCATAAAAGTGCAAAATAAAAGGTTAATGCATGTCAAAATTAGAGTTCTTGCAACACTGGTCAAAAGCAACAGAGAGCTGAACAAAAGGCCGTGCATACACTGTCACTAGCAATAAAGTAGTACTGTACTTATGACAGATTCTGAGTAAATGATACATAATAGAGATCAATTACTTGTATAATTTTTTAAAAAGGAAATGTTTTACAAAAGATATATAGCATGAAATCACATTACACTGACAGACATTTAGCTATATTAAATGTAAATTTTATGATGCCAGCTAGAAAATTATCACTTTGCTTTTACTGAACACTACTTGTTACAGCAGTGCATAGTGTTCCTTCAAAAAAAACATTTTTTAACAGTTTAAGCCCCTACCTCATGCATTTGAAAAGCAATGTAATTATGCTTTTTTAAAGTTAGTGGGACAAAGAATTTGTTAGAAGTATAGCTTCTGGAAGATCAAGAAAGGAAGACTTACTTTTCACTATATATGCCCTCTTAACACTACAATTTTTCATCATGTGACGTATTATTTTTTTAATTAACAAATTTTTAATAAAGTATTGGGATAATAAACAAAAGCACGTTCCAGTTTAAGATCAATCTATGGGGAGCATAATACTCTGCATCTTTCACAACACTTCTGAAAGTTAATCACATGAACATGAACAAAAACAAATGTAGAGTCATCACAAAATACAAATGTTGGTCACAATTATGTAGAAAAAAAATAAGATGTAATATCTGTTTTTCCATGTCAGCTCACAGTATCTGTACTGGAAGTCTCTCTAAAATTAAAACAAGTCCACTAATATAATTGAAAGGAACACTTCTGCATTATGAAACAGAAGATATGGGGTTCAGAGGAGAGCCCATCTGAGTAAGGACTTTGTCCAGCCACTGAAGAGGCCCATGAAGATGAATCTCAATCCAACATGGGGTGCTGGTAACATCCTGCCGGTGATACTCTGCTCCCCAGCCCTATGAAAATAAACAAGTTCCCAGTAAATCCTTCTTCAAACTGTCAACCAACCACTCTCAACCAATTTTAACAATAAAAAGATAGTGTAACATTAAACACTTTTCTTAACATACTTAAACAGAATTATCACCAGGGTACTTAAAGAGAGTATCACAAAACCAATCTTAGCTCTCATCATAAATTTAAAAGCAAGACAAAAGACATATTATTCAAAAATAAATAGATTGATACTGGGGATAGAACTCGGACCTTGTGCTTGCAAGGCAGGCCACCGGTGGCACCACTGAGCTAAATCCCGAGCCCTAAAAATATATGAATTTTTAATAACATATAATTCTTCTTTAAAAATTCACGGAGCCAGACAAGATTCATTTTTTTAATTTTAAGGAGGTCAGATAGTATAGTATTTCACAATTAAAATATTAATATTTCTTCCATGAGATATACTCTCACTAGGATAAATAAAACACACAAAAAGCCTCATGCAATTTCATGTCAGATTTTGTTAACAAAAGCTTTGGTTTTGAGGGTTTTTAAACTATTAAATGAGACACTGCAGACATTGATCAATGTGTGCATGAGTAATTTAATGTAATCATATAGCCTTTATCCTTACAGGTGGGAAAGTAGTGAAGTGAAATGAGCTGAAACAACAGTTTAGAATTCTATATAAAAATTGAAATAGAAAATTTTTACTTTTATTATCCTGAATTTATCAAGTTCTCTGTCCTAGCCCAAGAAAACAAGGAGAACAAGAAGGGGCAGACTGGGAAAGATGACAGAATGGAGATTAAAATAAATATTTCTGAAGAGGGAGGAGGAAATTTCTTTAGGATAATTGATAAAACTGATTCATAAAAACAGACCTCTAACAAAGCAGCAAGAAAACACTGGGCCTTAGTGCCAAAAAGAAAAAACCCTACTGGCATGATAGTTTTTCTTTTTGGACCAAATCCTAAATCCTTAAAGACTATGTGTGGTTATAGTTTAGAAGATGAATGGGCGGATAGATAGCATTAAAATTCTTTCTAAATTCTGTTCATGAAACATAACCTTTGGTATGCTCAACAAAACTAGTCCAAGGGTATAAACTTGAACTTTGCAAGATCCTTAAAACAAAGCCTAGATATAAGTAAAATAGTCTTCATACACCAATTCTGTTAAGTCATTCTAATACAATCTTAAAATCTAAATTGTGAAAGCTAAGGGACTCAAAAAGCAATTTTTTTACACCTTTAGCAAGGTGTAGGGAAGGTGGGATGGGTAGGGGAAGGGTAATAAGGGAAAAGAAAAAAAATGTGAGATAATGAAAAGATGAAAATAAAGTGTTTGTAGATGGGGAGGGGAGGAGGGGGTGAAGGGAGGGCGGGGGAAGGGGAAAAATGAGAATCAAGACCTGTCATGTAGAGGTACAAGATCCCAACAATGAATGTAACTGTACTGTATCCCTAAAATGTACCAATAAACTCAATTAAAGCTGAAAAAGAAAAGCAATTTTTGTAATACTTTCTGGCAATTTAATCTTTTAACAAGAGTTCTTCGTTAGCTCAACCCCATTCAGAATCAAAATCAATTATGCATTTTATAATGTTTGGATTACAAAATGAAATCTTAGATTTATCATGATTAAAATCAAAACCCAGTAAAACAGGTTAAAAGTAATGATCATGTTTGAATTTAACAAAATTTTTTTATTATAACCTGCAGATATGCATACTTCCACTGACTTAAATTACATATCACAACCCACTCACCTTGACAAAACTCATTCTGATGGTACACATTTTGGTGAGCTCATATACTGCCTCAAACCCATGGTTGACAGACTGAGCTAGAAGCTGAGCAAACTCCTGATTGTTAAAAATTTTGAGGCTGCAGCTGCTGGGAATCTTACAGACGGTGGTGGGATGAAAGCCGTGATGAAAATTGCAGTTCCTACTCTGTACAAATATGCTGCTGTCACTGAGACACTCCGCATACACCTCCCCGCCAACATAGTACAGATGAACACCTTAAAAAGATGGGCAGCAGGACAGTCAGCTTAACAAAGAATGATAATGAAGCCCAAGAAGTTGTATGATCCAGCCAGCATTCCCAGAAATCCACAGCAAACTCTCAAGTCTTTAGGCAGAAGCTACCACTAGATGGCCTTCTGCCACTGAAAATATTCAACATTAAGTGTCTGCATCGATTTTTTAAAGTGGTCTCCAAACAACAAAGAGGCCAGCCTCAAGTTAGCAGTTTATTAGGTTATCCACTTGGGTTTTTTCCTTTTTAGCAATCATTTATTATCTCTATGCATGAGATAACTAAAAACACCCTAAAACTGCCTTTTCATGAGTCCTTTCAAAGGAATGCCTGATACTATCAACTATTATAAATTCACATGGCAGTTTTGTGCTCTGCTTTTGCTAACAATGAAGACAGCAGTTAAAAAAAAAGCAAAAACAAAAGCAAACAAACACCCACCCCATGCACACATAAAAGAATATATGCAATTTCAGGTCACTAGAAATGCTGTTAAATAACAGATTTACTTATTTTTAAACATATATATATATATATATATGTGTGTGTGTGTGTGTGTGTGTGTGTATGTATAAAAAACATGAAAAGTTTCAATACTAAAATTCAAATTATGTAAATAAAGCTGGAGTCACCTAGTATTTTCCAAACATATGCTTCTACCACCTCAAACTTTTCTTCCTCAAAGGTAGAAACTGTTGTCAGTTTGGTATATATTCTTTCAAGTCTTTTAACACAGACTTCATTATACATGTATGTTCCTCAGAAATATTTTTATGTGGTTTTATGTAAGGGTGATATTTTGCTTGCTTTATGTAGCATAGTTTAAATCATTACAAACTTGATCTTTCATCTTAACCAATCTTAAGAGATTTTACTATGCTCCCAAATACAAATCTTCCACTGTTCATATATCCTAAATATTTCAGAATTCCACAATGTATATAATTTATTTGTTGTCTGTTGATGGGCAACTTTTCAAACTGGTTTTTAACATCTTTCCTGTACATACATACCTCAGCATATATGAAGTCAAAGAACTGTATAAGGCTGTGATTATTTTAAAATGTGTTTTGCTTCCAAATAAACAAAAATGACCCATAAACAAAAGGATTCCAGAATGGTATACTGGGAAAACTGATTACAGAATTTTTAATTTACCAAAGAGCATTTCCTTCAAGTATTTTTATTGTAGTTGGGGAGGAGGGGGAACCAATGCATACAAGTAAAGTATTTCACAAGAAAAAAAATCACAACTTGACAATGAAGTCAAAAGAGAATGGAAACTTGTTTTTCCCCCTACAGTACAGGACCAGGCCTGAACACAGGACCAGCCTTCCAACAGAGCTCCATTTCCAGCTTTTTATTTTTTATTTTGAGAAAGGGTCTTGCTAAATCACTAAACTGTCTGGACTGAGCTCAAACTTGTAATTCTCCTGCCTTGGCTTTCCAGAGTGCTAGGATTACAGGCATAAACAACCACTCTCAGCTTCAACACACTTTTGTTTTTAATCTCTTCCATAAGAAATCTCATTACGATTATATTTTCATATTCTTAATTTGGATTAGCTTTTCCTTTTCTTTTTCTTTTTTTTTTTTGTGGTACCGGGGATCGAACTCAGATCCTTGTGCTTGTGAGGCAGGCCACTGAACCGCTGAGCTAAATCCCCGGCCCCAGGTTTAGCTTTTTCTTAAGTCAAAGAAGAAAAAAGGAGCAAGGTACAAAAACAAAATATCTCACAAAACATGAATTCATTCTACCCATGATGGAGTTCTTTCCTGACCACTAGATACATGAGACTTTAGCCTTCAATAAAATGTGAAAAGTGACTTGTTTGTTGTGGTAACTATACTGCTGGATGAATTATAAATGATCCTTGTTACCCAAATTTTAAAAATGGGGTAGGGGGTAAATCCAATAAAGACTTTTGCTCTTCATGTTGGGTTTCCTACCTCTAATTCTAAGACTGGTAATTCTTACACATCATCTTAATTAAAGATACTCCACAAATACTGTAATTATTACATTCTAATCCTTCACCAGCATTCATATGTTCCATAAATATTTGTTGTACATTTTAGGAGCCAGACACTATTCTATCTACTAAGGATACAGTCATGAAAGGGGCAAATTCCTGGGCAGTTTATATTCTAGTCAAGGGAACAGTCAAAAACCAAATAAGTAGTATAATTTTAGATCTTCAGTAGTATAAAGAAAAACTAAACAGGATAAGTAATAGAGGACTTATCATGTCTTCATTTGGTTTATTAATTCTTCAATATCTGCAATTTGAAGTGGGGATTATACCTTAATATACTTTGCATTCTTCTAGCACCCTTAAACAATACATGGTACACTAACAGTAAAGTAAATGAATTCAACTGAATGGAGGCATATGTAAGATTACCTTTTCCAATGTGTCGTCTAGTGTTTTCGATTGTTGAATTACGATTAACATTTGACAACAATCCCAAGCAGAATCTACTTTTGTTATTTGAAGGGTCTGTGAATCCATCCACTAACACACTGGTAGATGATGCATGAAAAGCTTCCCCAACACGGTTGTTTAATTCATAGTAGACAATTGAACACCAATGTTTGGGCTCTTCATAAGCAACAGGCTGAACGTCTATGAAGAAACAACACAGAAAAAGTTTAATAAATGATTATCAGAAACTCCAGATTCATTGTGTTTACTCCATCTCAACCAAAACATTAATGTAAAAAATATTTCAGTTAAGTCCCAGTTTGAGTCTATATGTAAAAAACCATTAGAAATAAGTTTACCTATGACAATTTAAATAATTATATAGACACAAAGATAGGCAAAAACCTTAGTCTACTCATGCTGCTGTAACAAAACACCACAGACTGAGTGGCTTAAAGAATTTTTTTTTTCAGTTCAAGGCTGAGAAGTTCAAGACCAAAATGTCAGCAGGTTTGATGTCTAGCAAGGGCTCCCATTCTAGTTTGTAAATAGACAGCTACCCTATCACTATGCGCTCATAGGGTCTTTCCTCAGTGTGAGATCACAAAGATTCAAAGATCTGTCTGTTTTCCTTCTGTGATGGCTGAGTGACTGTCAACTTGAGAAGTCTGGCTGAGAAGCTTAGCTAAATCCGCTCAGCAATTCTACACCCTTGGGTATGAGAGATCCACCCTAGGGAAGCCTGTTGCTTGGATGTTATAAAGGGAAAAAAGGAAGGATACTGCTTGTTCCTTTGGATGAGCTCTTGTCTTCGCCTTGGAGTCATCTCCTGTCTTAAAGCACATTCTTCAGGTCCCAGCACAGATCCTTCAGCCTTCCTTTGGGCATTGACTCTACAGCCTTCCATGGCAGACCATGAACTTCCTGATACCAACTCACACAGGACATTGCAGTGAGCTCCAGACCTTTGATTAAATCCTTCAGTCTCCAGTATGCAGACAGACCCTCTGTACTCTTCCTGATTATCTGACCCTGGTTGGCCATTGTAAGCCAATTTTGAAAATTCTTATATATTTGTATATCTTGTGTTATATCTGTTTCTCTAGTAAATACTCACTGATACACCTTCTAATAACAGCAGCTAATTACATCACAAGAATCCCACTCTCATGAACTCATCTAAACCTCAGCCACCTCTCCAAAGTCCCATCTTCAAATACTATCACTTTGCCAGTGAGGTCTTCAACATATAAACTGGTGGGTGGAGGGAGCACAATATGATCCATTAGCATTCAACCCTGCCTTCCCTATATCCATGCCCTTTTCACCGGGAAAAAAAAAATTCCATCCCAATGCCCTTAGTCTTAACTCATTCCAGAAAAAGCTACAGTCTAAAGTCCAGTCTTATCTAAATTAGAAAAAGATGAGACTGGAGACAAAATTCCAAGGCAAAACTCCTCTCCTGTGGTAACATGTGAAACCACACAAGTTATAAGCCATAGAGAATTAGACTCTCAAGGCCCCACACATCCTTGCACCCACAGCTTCAGCCAGCCTAAGGAGACTAAGCTCAGTGATGTGAACGATCTCTGAATCACTTCAGGGCCAGTCTTCAGTTTTGAGGAATAGTACCAGTTCCCAGTCAAATAGCTAACTGCTTTATCTATACAGAATCTAAGACCTCTGATAGCCTTCCTTAATTCTGACCTAGCTGCCCCTTCAAGTCATACTACCTGTGTGTTCTGCTGAGGTGGCTAATCAGGTCTATGGTTCATATCCATACTAATCTCCCTCTAAATATATTTTCTCATTTTTTTGAAATATGGGTAGAATAAGATTTTTCTTAATCTTTATATTCTGGTTCCTTTTTGCTTAACAATTCTCCTTCAATTCATTGCTCTCTTCCCAAATGTACTTTACCATAAGAAGAAAGGAGGAACTAGGCTGCTTCTTCAAAACTTTGCTCAGCAATCTCTTCAACTAAATGTCCAATTTCACAGCTTGAAATTCTACTTTCCACAAAACACTAGAATAGGAAAAAGCAGCCAAGTTCTTTGCCACTCCCTTTTCCAATAACAATGTTCCTTCTTTATATACATCTGCAGCCTCAAAAGAATCAACCTTAACATTTATGTCTTAACACTGTACACAAAGAAAATGAAAGCTTTATTTATGGCTCTCCTCTTTTACTGCCAAGCCCTCACTAGAATCACCTTTCATTGTCCCTTCACAGTAGTATCAGCTTTTTCTAGCTTGCACCTCAAAATTCTTCCAGCCTCTACTCAGTATCTAGTTCCAAAGCCACTTCTGTATTTTTAGGTACAGTATTTGTTAGAGCAGCATGCCCATTCTAGGTACCAATTTCTGTCTCAGCTGGTTCAGGCTGCTGAACTAGGAATAGAAGTATTTCACAGGAGTCATCCTCGAGATGCTACTGATCTTAGCAGTAAACCTTCTAATTTCTCACTGCTATGTATAATGTTAACTGTTGTTTGCTTTTTATGTTTTTTGAGACAGGGTCTCACTATGTAGTTCAGCTGGCCTTGAACTCCTGATGGTCCTCCTGCCTCAGCCTCCCAAGGGCTGGGATTATAGGCATTCCCCACCAGGCCCAGCTTCTGAAAATATTTTTTATCACCACAAATACACAAAAAGCAAACAAACATTGTTTTAAGAAATGTATAAAATGTCAGACCTTACTTCTAAACCTGTTACAAAGTAAGGAACTTTAAGATCTCAAAGTAGCTCTAAAACCATAACACTATCATAAAAATATGCCAATGTCCAAAATGAGGTACCACACCATATCCATTAGTGTGATCATTATTCCATCCCTACCCCACCCCACCCCAAAAAGAACCCAGAAAATAAGTGCTGGCCTAGATGTAGAGAAACTGGAATCCTTATGCACTGATGGTGAGAATGTAAAATGATGCAACTGGCTCATTTCAAATACTTTAAAAAAGTCAAACAAATAATTAGCATATGACATCAATTCTAGTCCTAAGTATATAATACTCAAATGCACTGCAAGCAGAAATTCAAACAGATACGGTACCACTGTAAGTCACAATAGTCAAAAAGACAGAATCACCTAAATCTCTCTCAATACACAAATGGATAAACAAAATGTGCATACCTATAAAACAGAGTATTATTCAGCCTTAAACAATGAAATTCTAACATGTACTATAATGAGGATAATCCTTGAAAACACCATGCTCAGTGAAACAAGCCAGACACCAAAGGAAACACAAGTATTATAATTGAATTTACAAGAGATACCTATAATAGGCAAATTTATAGAGACAGAATGTCAAATAGTATTTTTCAAGGGTTAGAGGAAAATGAGGAGTTTTATAATGGGTTGAGTTCTGCGTAGGATGATATGAAAGTTCTGGGAATGGATAGTGACAATGAATGCATAATATGTAGACATAACTAATGCTACAGAACTCTAAAGTATATAAAGCAAATAAAGAGAATTAAAAATATAAATATACACCTGAACAATAATAGTTGAGAACTTCAATCTCCCACTGTCAGTAATTGACAGAATAAGAAAGCAAACAGGTGGCATATATATATATATATATATATACAACTTGAACTATACTATCAACCAGTTAGACCTAATAAAAATTCACAGAACCAATGACAACTCTACAACAGCAGAACTAAAGAGAGTATCAATGTACACATATATCCATAGTAGCATTATTCACTATAGCCAGCAAGTTCAGTGTTTCAAAAAGTTAAAACACATAATTAGCATATGACACAGCAATTCTACTCCCAAATATATAATACTCAAATTTAACCTGCTAGAAGAGACCCAAGAAAATAACAGCACAATGAGAAAACAAATAGGGCTGGAACAAACTGGATTTCTTCATGCAAAAATATTTAACACAGATATTTACCATTTATCACACACAAACTCAACTCCAAATGAATCTAAGATCTAATATAAAGATAAAGCAATAGAACATCTAGAAGAAAACATCAAAAAATATTTTCATGACCTTGGAACAAATAAGACTTTCTCAGATTCAATACCAAAATCATGATAAAGAAAATAAAACTGATAAATTTTTTTTTCTCATTGAGCTTACTGGTACATTTTAGGTATACAGTACAGTTACATTCATCATTGGGATCTTGTACCTTTACATGACAGATCTTGGTTCTCATTTTTTCCCCATACCCCTATCCTTCCTTCACCCCCTCCTCCCTTCCCTATTTACAAAAACTTTATTTCCATTTTTTCATTTTTCTCATATTTTTTTCTTTTCCCTTATTTTCTTTCCCCTTCCTTTCCCACTTCCCCTACACCTTTAGCCCTTTTCTTCCTATTTCACATTGTCAACCATACCATGAGGATCTTATTTATGATTAGTTTTTCACACCAGAGAAACTATTCGGTATCTACAGATATGTGACTTATTTATTTCACTTGAGTATATCCTCAATTTCCTATGAATGACTCTAATTTCTCATTCTTTATGGCTGAGTAGTATTCCATTTTATTAAAAAAAAACAACATCTTCTTTATCCAGTCTCCATCTGATCTGATAAATTTTAAAGCTATTGTGAGGCTAGGGATTTAGCTCAATGGCACCGCACCTGCCTGGCAAGTGGAAGGTCCTGAGTTCAATTCCCAGTACCAGTGGGGAAAAAAATTTTTTAAGCTACTGTGATTCAAAAGACATTATTTAAAAAATGAAAAGAAATCCAGACTGAGAATAAATATTTACAAATATTTTATAGTATATAAATTATATTTCACAAAAGATTTTTTTAAACATGGACAAAATTTAGAATGCAGATCAATGCTAGAATGTCCCTGGGATGAATCCTCAGTAGGGCAAAAAAAAACCCTCAAATAAGTAAAAGTGACCAAGATGTTAAAAAATAATAAAAATAGCAAGAACAAAATATATATAATGATTACTTCTCTTACCTCTGCTGGATATACTGGGCATAATCTGAGGAATCATATTATTGCTCGTATCCATAGGCTGGGAATTATCTTGACCCATCTGATCATCAGGTGGCATATATGCAGGAGGAGGCGTATCAGCTAAGAGAAATAAAATGAGACAAGTCCAAAAAGAACAGCTGAAATCTTCATCCTGCCCAGTTATTACTGTAAAAACATTTTTAACAAACAAGATAACCAGCAGGGTTCATTATTGAACAAATGTAGGATGCTAACATAAGACAGAAAAGTCAGCACACTGAATAGCAAACAGTGACTGAAAACCTCCTCCAAGCCCACATTTATTTAGTCCAGATTTCTGGTAATCTAGGATACTAGGAGTAGTACTAAAATCCACTGAAAAAGAATTCAAAATCAATAATTTTGTCTTTATTTGTATAGAATCACATGCTCAGAGAAATTGGTACCATACAAAAAACAATCTGAAGGAAATCCTAGTTTGTGTGTATATACAATTAACATTTTAAATTGATTATCACATACTGTACACTGTCATTTAAAACTATGTTCCTTTTGCAAGGCGTAGTGGTGCACACGAGTAATCCCAGCACTCGGGAGGCTGAGGCATGAGGACCGCTGTGAGTTCGAGACCCGCCTGGGCTACATAGTGAGTTCCAAATCAGTCTCAACTACATAGTGAGACCCTGTCTCAAAAAACAAAAAACAAAAAACAAAAAACAAACAAACAAAAAAAACTATGTTCCTTTAAAATTTGCTATCAATACTAATAGCAACTAAAACTTCTGCAATGTACATAAATGGCTGCTGTTTCATTAAATGGATAGATAATGAGCTTAGAAAACTGAATGCTAAACATGTGATCTTTCAAGGGCCAACACTCATGGTTGAATTTTTTTTTTTTTTTTGTAAAAGCAACAGTTAAACCTTTGTCTCAGTAACTGTAAAACAATATAAATTGTCTTTCACACCAAGGTTTGTACAAAATGTATTTTGAGATACTGCCACAAGTAGCACAGAAACTAAGACAAAATATGAAAATTTGCTTTTCAGAAAAATCCTAATAGTAGGTTAAACAGTATTTAATTCCCCTACTTCCTGGGCCAGGGATGTAGCTCAGAGGCACAGCACCTACCTGGCAAGCACAAGGTCCTGAGTTTGATCCCCCAGTACCAAAAAGAAATTCTCCTACTTCCAGATTTTAAACAAATAGTACTTGACACAATGAAATCCAATTTCATCTCAAAATCAAAGAATCACATAAAAAATGTAAAATCAGAAACAAGTAGCTCTTGTTGTGTAACAGTTTACACACAGGGACAATAGTAAAAATAGTTACTGATTCTCAAGGATTATTTCTTTTCCTTTCTCTTTTGAATCAATAAAGTCTTACCTGGGAGTTGAAAAGGACTTCCTGGTCCAGAACTTGCTGGGGAGTTGGGATACGTACTGCTAGCAGGGGATGGGGGGTAGGGGCTGTTTGGAGATAAAGGAAAAGGAGTGTTGTTGGGTTGGTGGAAAGAATCTGGAAATGTGGCATTTTGTGGCATGTGCGGTTCATTGTGGCTCAGGTTCCTAAACTGAACCAGAAGGCTGTGTTGTGGGTTGAATTCATTATGACGAGGCACTAATACTGGAGGTAAGACTGAAAGACAAAAATGAAAAGTAATTGGTTAGCAATGACTAAAACAAATGTCCCATTTAACCATTAAGGGATTAGTAGAAAGAATTCATGTAAGGCTAAACCTATTAAAACAGTTTACTTTATGAAAAGCTGTTTTACAGAAACGTGAATCTATATTTACATAAAAACTAAACCCAAAATTCTTTTTAACAATTAGCCTATATAAAGGACTCTGAAAGACAGAAAATCCAGAAAAGGTATCACTTCAGTTCTATGGGACATATAACATACTTAACAACAACCACAATACAATTAAAGTTTAAAAAGTGAGCATTCCCCACTAGCAGAGAATAAAAAAAAAAAAATTGCGCAAAATATATACCCACTTGGACCTTAATGAACCTGGAAATATTCACATGAGAGTGTTAGGGGTGAGTATTAGAGAAAGAAGGGAAAGAAAAAGTAAAGTCATTTGGCCTAGGCACAGATCTAGGTGGTAAGACTATAGGGGTGAGATCAGGTATGTGGATACCCTGAAAACTTTCACATTTCCAATTTTGAACACTTTCATCATTCTGACTTTGAGAGATCTCAAACTTTAAATTCTTCAGTAAGGTTTTACCTAATGAAAATAGTAGTATTCCCCAGGTAGAAGTCCTCCTTCAAAAACAGTCTTCTACATATTATAATAATAAAAATACAGTAATACCTCAGTTCACAAATGCTTCTGTTTGCAAGCAGTTCAGTTCACAAACAAAAGCATTCAGCAAACTTTTGATTCCTGAAACAAATCAGGTGACAAACATGAGCAGAGTCATCTTCCCACACAAACACAAATGCAGCCATCTTCCCTAAATCCTAAAACAAATTAAGATTGTCAACCAAGGTAACACTGTATATACAGTAATGTCTAAACATTTGAAGAAAAATTTTTAAAAAGATAAACATTAACCTTATTCCAATATTCACTGTATCTGAAGATCCACGATCAACCACATTTAAACATCTGATTATTTTCCCAACAGGAAACTGATACTGATTCATCAAACTGCTAATATACAATTAATCTCTTTTACAACTTTCCTGTAGATCTCAATGTCATTTTGACTCTGAGAGGCCGAGGAAGGAGGATCACAAGTTCAAGCCCAGCCTGGGCAACTTAGTAAAACCATGTTTCAAAGTAAAACATGAAAAAGAAGGCTGAGGATGTAGATCCCTGTCAGCCTTGGCTTCAATCCCCAGTACGATGAATGAATGAATGAATGATTTTCAAAACTTTCATTCTGGTATCATTTAGCATCAACAAAATCAACTTGTTTTTCAGTTAACTAAATCATACTCAGGTTCCCAACACTAGGGACATTTTATACAACAAACCAAAGGCTCTTCAATCAGTATTCGTACTGTTTCATTTTTTACAGTATCAGTATTGTACAAATGTGATCAACAATGACTACAACTGTTTTTGTTATACTGTGTTTTAACAATTGCTGTTCCCCTGGATGATGGGGCAGCTGCCATTGGAGAGCAGGATTTTAGGCAAGAATTTCTGTTTAGCTAGCTAGTAATCTGAAAGAATGAATGAAATAACTAGAATTCATGTCAGTAAAGATTTGTTTCTTTTTTAAAGATATAGCTAAAACCACTGGCCTTCTTCTTGCTTATATATTATCTGTGCACATGATTTTTATGAATTATTTTATTTTCATCCAAAATAGTATTAGAGGGCGAGGGATTTAGCTAAGTGGTTCTGCCACTTGCCTGGCAAGTGCAAAGTCCCAAGTTCAATCCCCGGTACAAAACAAAATAGTAGGTAGAGTTTAAAAGATTATAAGCTCATAAAAAAGACAAGATAAGGGCCGGGATTTAGCTCAGTGGTTCCACTGCCTGCCTTGTAAGGACAAGGATCGAAGTTCGACACCGCCCCCAGTACCAAAACAAAACAAAGCAAAAAAGACGAGATTATAACCAAAATAGCAATTTCTAGACCCCTTTCAGATCATTTCCATAAACAAATTTCTTAGCCTAACATTTACTTTATGCAGTGCTAAACAATGTTATTATTATTATTAATTTGTGAATTATTTGTAGACTTGGTCCTGCAGCAAATGGGGCAGCTTTCTTACATTATTGTTCTTTTCCCCACAGTAAACTTACATTAAAAAACTGGGTTAATTGGGTATCTAGTGCTTACATTAATGTGTGCATATATATATTTCTATATGTAATTCATTGATAAGCCAAAGTGATATTTTCCCTGAATAGTGTTTTTATTAAACTTAATATTCTACCACTTGCTTAGTTTTATGTACTCCTACTATTTCCAATATTCCGACAATCTGTCAAATACTCATGACCATCTTTCCGATGCTATAAATTATCAAATAACTTGTGATTTCATGCTTCCTCCTCGATCTTCCAAACTTTTGCTCCAGCTGAGACTAGTTACTACTTAAGTCTCCTACAAACCTAAAGTCTTCGGACCTCCTCTTTTCCTCTCTCTGCAGTTACTGTATATTCCATTTCATGAGCCTTGTCCTCTATTAGCTTTTCTAAGAAAGGGTAAGAAAAACAATATATATGAAAATATCTTACTTTTTTGATTGCTTGCAAGCAGAATTTCTGCTTCACTTTCTTCTAGAATCCAGAATTGCAGTGAAAAATACAATATTCTGACTTTGAGTATCTTATATGTGTGTCCTATATTTGCTTTCTGGAAACTTCAGAATCTGATTTATCTTTATCCAAGATATTCTAAAATTTCATGTGTTGAGTTTTTTGTCAATCCCAGTTCTGACTATTTGGTCATAGGCCCTTTCAATTCACATTTCTAGAAATTATTCTACTAGTATTTCTTTTTTATTTTCTTTTGTTTGTTTTTTGTTTTTGAGACAGGGTCTCAGTTGGTAGTTCAGGCTGACCTTGAACACATGCTGATCCTCCTGCCTCTGCCTCCGGAGTACTGGGATTATAGGCATACACCACTATGCCCAGCTCCAGTAGTATTTCTTTGAAGATTTGTCTATTATTCTCCTCTGTGCTCTATTTACAGAATTATTATTCTAGTGGAATCATTGTGAAATTGTTTCTAGGCCATATAATGCTTAGGCACTTTTACATGCATTGATGCATCCAATCCTCATAACCCTGTCAGGTGGGTAGTATTATTCTTATATTAAATCACAAAAATGCTGAAGTAACGTAGTAGTATACACTAAAACCAGGATTCAAATTCAGCAAGTCTTTCCAGGTGTGGCAACACACACCTGCTATCGCATTACTCGGGAGGCAGAGGTTGGAGGATCACTGTGAGTTCCAGGTTGATCTGGGCTACATAGTGAATTTGAGGCCAGCCCAAACTACATAGCAAGACCCAGTCTCAAAAAAAAAAATCAAGAAGTTTGGCTTGGTACTCAGTCTTAACCATTAGGCAATACTGACTATTAAACTCTGGATCACCTATGGCCCTTTATTTTTCTTATATTCATTATTGCTTCCCACCCACCTTCCATTTTTTTTAAGCTTTCTGCAATAGTTACTCCACTATATACTAGTTGGGTGATCTCAAGTTACTTTCTTTTTAAGTCTCACTTTCCTTGTCAATAAACTTATAAATACAAGTAAGAGGGTTCTCATGTGTTATTACCATTTTCTAAACCTATGAAGGAATAATCTCACAGAGTTAGAAAAGCACCCAGTCCATAAGTACTCAATCATACAATTAGAAAAGCACCTAGTCTGTAAGTGCTCAATAAATGTTAACTGCCACCACCATTACTTTATTAACACATTATTATGAAGTTATCCATCCTATGTTATATTAGCTTATTCAAAGGGGAATACAAGTTAATCCAGCTGAATCAATCTGTTCCTTCCCCCAAGACATCTGAACTTTAGACTAAAAACAGGCTTCTATAGTCTCTGTATATCAAGGCACAGGTTTTCCAGAGTCACTTAAAAGTGTCAGAGCTATTATGTTTTTATCCTTTCTATAAAATAATTACAATTGAAAAAATGGATTACCAAAAAATAAAGACATTTCTACTAGACAATTGTTAGTCACATTCTGGCTATGGGAACACACAAAATTCCTAGACTTACTCCTAGCAAATAACTAGCTTGAGAGTTTTTCAGAAATTTGTCTATTAAATCTTCCCATTTTCCTTTCCTCATCAAGTCCTTCAGGATATAGCTTTCTTTTAAGAAATTCAGAATCACCTCAAATATCATCTAGTTTAAGTAAAGCTCTTAAGTTCCCTTAGAGTACAATCACTGCTATACTTCTTTGCCAGTATCCATGCTCAATATTATTTTCAGTCTTTATCACACTGGGCTCATATTATCTCAGGTGTAGCACACAGATTCTAAGGTGGCCTTATGATTACAACCTCTGGGTATTCATGTCCTTGGTTAATCTCTTCCCCTTGAGTGTATGACCTGTGACTTGCTTCTCACTAAGAATATAGGGCTGGGGTATAGCTCAGTGGTTCTGCTGCCTGACTCACTAAGAATATATGGCAAAGTGAGATGTATGTGATTACATTCCATATGAATGCCATTCTTGTTAGAAGACCCTCTCTTCCTTGCAGGCTTTGAAGAAGCTGCCATGAATGTGAACTGCTTATAAAGAAGGCTATGTGGTAACTAATGCAGTCTCCAGCTGATAATCACCAAGAGTCCCACAGCATACAAGGAAACTAAATTCTGTTAACTATCACAGTGAGCCCTGGAAGCAGATCCTTTCCTACCTGATAAGACCCTGGCTCTGACAAACACCCAGATTAGAAATTTGCAAAAAGTCCTACTAAGCTGTGATGAATGCCTTACTCAAAGAAATCATGAAGTAATAAATATGTCAAGCTACTTCATTTGTGGTCATTTTTTGTGCAGTTACATCAGCTGCTATACTTAGAATATGTCCCCCAAAGTTCATATTGGAAAATTAATCCCTATAGCAACATTATTGAAGGTGAGGCCTAATAAAAGGTGATTATGTTGTTACTGCGAGAGTAGATTACTCATCATGAGAATGGGTTTGCTGTAAGTTTGGCCCCTTCTTACACTTACTGGCCATGTGCCATGTTACGATGCCATCAGAAGACCCTCACCAGATGCAGCCTGTCTTGCACTTTCTAGCCTCCAGAACCTATCATTTATAATTTACTTAGTCTGATACTCTGTTAGAACAACAGTGAATGAACTAAAATAGCAGCTTATGGAATTCATTCCTTACCAAAAAATATTTACTGAGCAAATATTTACTTACCAAATGTCAGGAAACTTAGTTCTGAACACTGGGGATGTAATAAAAAACGAAATTAAAGAAAGCCCTGCTCCAGTGAGTCAATAAACTAAATATCTAATGTAGAATCAACTACTGATGAAGATATTTGAGCAAAGACTGAATGGAATAAGAACATATGCCAAGAAAAGGTCCTGGAAAACAAGACTTGAAATCTACACAGGAGTATGGGCAAGTTCAAGGGTCAAAGGATATCTAAGGGATACTTGCAGTCTTGAAACTACCTATACTAAGTTTAATTTTAAGAATTCTGTTTAAGAATTCTTGTTCTTAGTAGAGTAGTGCTAAATGTTTTTAGTAGGAACTGACATATTTGATATATGTCATTTTAAATTTCACTCTAGCTGCTGTGTAGAAAACAATGGGTTGGGAGAAAAAGAAGCAGACACACAAATTAGGAGACTACTTAAAATGAGAAGTGGTAACAGTCTGTACTATTGGTAAGAGGTGATGGTATCGACGTATTTTGAAGGTACGTACAGCAAGCAGCATTTGTTCATAGCTCAAATATAGGACTTAAAAAGAATAAAAGATGAACTCTGTTTAGGGCAATAGAGTTACATGAACTTCAATAGAGAAAACAGGAGAAAAACTGTTTGGAGCGGGGGGGGGTGTTTAAAGTAGCCATATTGTGTCTGATGTTTATAAGACATTCCATTGAGCCGTTAACTAACTGACTTTTACAAGTCTAAAACTCAGGTAAGAAGATAATTCTAGAATTCACATTATGCGCATCAGGTTATAGCTAATTTTTAAAAATATGAGACACTTAAAGAGCACAGATATAAGAAAGGCAAAAGGACTGAGTACTGTGAAATAGGAGGACAAGGCAGCAAATACCCTGAGCAAAAATAACCCATAAAGTTGGACAATATAAGAGGAGTATCTTAAAAGTCAAAAAGAGCAAATTTTTACTAGGAAGGCAGGAGATAAACTGTTCTCCAATGTTATTGAGAAGGCAAGTAGGGTAAGAATGAGAAATGACCGCTTGATTTCTAAGAAGGACGTCACTAGTGATCTTGACATATGAAATGACAGGGAAGAAAGACTAACTGAAAAAATAAGAATGGGAAACATAGATGTGGAAATAATAAAAGAATCCTATAAAATGACCAGAAGAAACAGTGTGGGAAATGGGTGTGTGTGTGTGTGTGTGTGTGTGTGTGTGTGTGTAGATATGTGAATGAAGACAAGAATTCTTTTTAACTTTTAAAGGATATGTAATACCATGACATGCTTGTATACTGTCAGAAATAGTCTGGAAAAATGAGAAAATACAATACAAAGGAGAGGAATGCTAATGCAGAAACAAAGTTCTTAAACAGACAAAAAGGAACAGGATCCAGTGCACACACTAGGCTTAATTCTTTAGATAAAACAGAGACAGGTCATCCAGAAGAAAGGCAGAGCACATATATGGGTCCTTACTGTGCACAAAGGATTAGGATAAGTCACTTGGGAGTAATATCACCTACATAAAAAACAAAGTCAAATACAAATCCTGTACTCCTTCTGAGAATAAAGCTTTAAAAATGAACACAAGGTTAACATACCTTGTAATTAATAAATCTAATTATATATAAATCAGGCAACACAATTTTTTTAAAAATTCTTCTCAAGGGAGTAAAACCTACCTGGACTCTCCACTCTCTTATAGTGGTATGGGTTGATACAAACTTCTTTTTGTTTAGATCCAAAAGGAAATTCACAAATATCCAATGGCTTTAGCTCATGATGACTCTGTAAATCAGGCCAGCGCCAAACACGACAATATATAACATGTGGTAAGCCTTTTCTGTGAGAAACCTGGAGACGTCCATCTAAAGATCTGGGAATAGTGACACATTTGCTCGGCTGTCCTGGACTGCTCAAGGCTTTCTCCAATTCCTCCATGGCACCCTTTTTCTTTTTTAGCTTTTTTACCAAAGCATCGACTGCCTTTTCTGCCCATTTTTCCTCCTCATCACCTTGTTTCCAGCCCAACAACCGTTTCACTGCTGGACTAGTAAAAGAAAACAAGCTGGCCATTGACGTCATTTGATACGAATCTTCAGAGACCTTCCTGTAATCAAAGTCAGTAGTGAGTGGAAGAACAGATCACAGGTGAAAAGTCACATACGGGTCCTAAGCAGGAGTTCCAATTAAAGAAGGAGCAATAACATTTATCTTCACAAGTGCCATATGCTTCTTTCATTGGTTCAAGTCCTAAAAAAGAAAGGGGGAAAGGATCTAAATTAAACCAACTCAATAACACACAGTTCAGTCAATATACTTAAAAAGTATGTTGGCTGTAAACAAGAGCAGAAAAGCATTACAGAGGAAAACAACAAATAAGTCTAGAAAAAGAGATTTCTCTAAAAGTTCTGTGACCACTCACTTCCTTTTTCATAGTACAAACAAAAATTTACCATCAATGCCAAGCAACAACCAAAAGCAAATATATGCTGCTCTCTATTAACAACAACAACAACAAAAAAAAAAAACAGGCTCCAGACTTTTATTTCCATTGATGAGCCCACTAAGCTCTATTATCAGTCTTCTAAGATTTGCTTCTGAAACAGTACTTTCCTTCACCGAAACGCATGTTACAAAGTAGGTCAAATCTGAATATATGTACTGATCTAATCAAAAAGCCCTAAGAGAAATCTAGCTCTTCCCTAGAGTCATTGTTCTTTTTAAAATGTTTAGTATACAAAGCAAAGGAAACCACTAACACAGCAAAGAAACAAACTACAGAATGGGAAAAAATTTTTGCTAGCTCCTCCTCATACAAAAGACTAATATGTAGAATATATAAAGAACTCAAGAGAATTAGACCCCCTCCAAATTTAAAAACCAATTTAAAAATGGGCAGCTGAGCCAAGAATGGCTGCACACACCTGTAATCCCAGCACTCAGGAGGCTGAAGCAAGAAGATGCTGAGGGTTCAAGGCCAGCCTGGGCTACACAGTGAGTTTAAGGACAGCCTGAACTACATAGTAAGACCCTGTCTCAAAAAACAAACGAACAAAAAAAGGCAACTGAAATGAATAGATACTTCTCAGATGAATACATACAAAGAGCCAATAAATACACACCAAAACAATGTTCAACATCACTGGCCATTTGGGAAATGCAAAAAATAATACTGAGATTCCATCTCACTCTAGAAAGAATCAATAACACATGTTGAAAATGTAGGAAGAAAGGAACGCTTCTTCATTGTTGGTGAGTCTATAAAACCAATAGAACCACTATGGAAATCAATATAGAGGTTCCTCAAAAATGTAGAACTTCCTTTTAACTCAGCTAGTCCCCTTGTACGTACCTTCCCCTAAGAGTTAAAGACATCACCACAGTGATATATGCACAGCAATGTTTACAGTGGCACAATTCATAACAGCTAAATCTTGGAGACAGCCTATATGTCCATCAATGGATGGAGTAAAAATGTGTTATTTATACACAATGGAGTACTTACTCTACCATAAACAAAGTATAAACGAGTCATTTGTAGGAAAATGGATGCACTCTGACACATGCATAATGGCAAGTGATGTAACTCAGACACAGAGGCTTAAATAGCACATGGTTTCTCTTATATGAAAAACTCAATATATATCTATTTATATATATAACAAAATAAAAAACAGGTAAGAAAGAAAAACAGGTACTACAATCCAGTGTGGATGATGTACCTAAAAATGTACCTTAATACAATTATTTTCATGTTTTATGTATTTTTGGCGTATTAGTCTGGTTTTCAATCTGTATATATGACAATTAACTTTATACAGCCTTGTAAGACAAATAAATAAAAGAATCTGATACTAGAAAAAATAAAAGGGAGTGGAGAGAAGGAAATTAAAATGTGTTATGTACATGTATCAATGCCCTACAGTGAATGTAAACATTACATACTGCAAATGTACTAATAAAAGCAGCAAGGAAGGGAGGGAAGGAAAACAAGAGAGAGAAAAAGATGGAGAAGGGAGGGAAGGACAAAGGGGGAAAAATAAAATGTTTACCATACTTACAAGGCTTGGACAAAAGCCATGATGCTATTCAAGTCACATTATTAGATACAAATTATATTAAAAGTTGTCATGTAACAAACTCTGAAATAAATCATACCACATATAACTGCCAGAAGTGCCAAGCATCTATTTTTAGGAATAAATCTATTTTTAGGAATACAAGTAAGTTTAAAGAGAATAAATACAGAATTTAATCCAAAAGTCAAGTTTACATTTATAATTGCTACTGGCTTCTGTGATATTTGATGCACTATTATTTAATAAAGACACCCATCATTAGGAAGTTCCTGGCAATAACAACAGGAAGTGATGTCAGTGACACGTTACTGTTAAGAATAAAGTCTCCTGTGGGTCACTAATAGTCAACTACAGACAATAAGCACATAGTGAAATAACGGGAATGTTTAGAAAATAATGTCAGTTACAAAGAATGCTTCCTTTCTTGTACTATTTTACAAACACTGCTGCATATCTAACTGACAAATTCTAGCAAACTAGCGTCAAGACTACTCTGGATTGGGGTTGCATCTTCCCAAAAAAGAATAAACATACTCAGTTAAAACCCAGGTAAAACAAAGTAAAACTGATTTAAACTGAACAATTATTGGTTAGTAGTTATGTGCTATCTACTCTGTATGGCTATACTGGGGCTTTTAAAAACGTCACACCAAATAGGTTGTTTCTCAAAAGCCAACAAATTGATTTATTCAGCTTGTACTTCCTGAGAACACGCTAAAAGCCAGGCACTATTCTGGATGGCACTATTCAGCAAATAGCAGTGGCTGTCCAGTCTGCAGTCCTGGAAGCAGGGAGGCGGTGCAGGAGAGTGAAGGTGTTCTTGGGTGTGACCCTCCCTTGTCCCTCCTCTTCCCAGCCCATCAAACTGGCTACATTAACCAGAAATGTAACAAAAGAGTTTACACAGGTGTAAATTGTTACATGCTAAAGGAATACAAAGAAATTTTGACCTCAGTTATAACTACATCAAGAATGTGAGGTAAAATACATCTGAGACAAAGTAAAAGCATAGTTTGAGAGGTTCAGGTGAGATAAGAAATTCCAAAGGCAAAGGACCACTAACAAAAAATATTTAGGCAGACATAAACTGAGTATTTCCTGCCTCAAGTGAAAGATAAGGCTCACTGATTATGATTTTACTCAGAAATACAGGAATGTGGGCTAGACAAGACCATGCATTGTGAAACAAGCCGTATAAGCACTGGTTAGATATGCTGTGGAAGAAAGGAAAAGAATAGGAGCTTAAAAACCAAACTTCAGAATTCACACTTCATTCTAAATATAACAGTGAGTACAGAAACAATACAATTAGCTATAATAAAAGCTTAAATATGATAGTGTAAGAATGCCATGCATCTATTAGAAAGAATAAAATGGATATTATCACTTCGGTCAAGGTACTTCACATCTTTGATTCTCCACCTATAAAAGTGAGTAATTTATTACATATAATAATTTAGAACTGTGTAGGGTGAACAGAAAATACTTCATAAATGTTAACCATTAATCTATTATCAGCATCATCAGTAAGTACTAACTATAGTATGCACTAACATGAAAAATATAAAGTTATTTGTATGTGTAAACAGGTAACAAGGACTGGAAGACTCACAAGAACTAAATGTTATAAAAGAGCAAGGCTGGCCATGCCCACACTCTGGCTTTCTGTTGCTCCACATGAACCTTCCCTCTCACACATGCTCCTACCAAGATGCCACCTGCAATGATATGACACAATGGGGGGGGTACTTTGCCAAAGCCAGGACCATGTCATTAGGGCTCTCCATGTTCAAAGCTATGAGTTAAAATAAATCTTTATTTATAAATTACCCACACTGGCTATTTTGTTATAGCAACTGAGAGAGAGAGGACTGCTATGGTTTGGAAACTCAAATGTCCTCTAAAGGCCTATGACGGTCCCCAGCATGGGGAGGTGGTTTCTGTAGGAAGACCTTGAAGTGTTATGCTTGCTAGAGGCCCAAAACAATGACGCTACTCAATCTTGGACTGGAATCTTCAGAACTGTGAGTCAAAGTAATCTTTTTATAAGTTAATTACCTCAGGTATTTCTCTATAGTAATGAGGAGGTGACTAATACAAGGACTGATCCAACTATATCTTAAAGAGAACTTCAAATTTTACAGCTAAATGACTAAGATAATCACAATTTCATTAACAGAATTAAGGACATTCAGTAGATGTATCTGTGACTATCAATGATGGTAAACTCCTCTGGGAAAGGTCATGACTACAGATACAGGGTTAGTGAATCAGAGATGAGAAATGGACTTAAGATTTTACACAAAGAGCTGAAGCAGTAAGAAAAGCAGATTTTCAACAAAGTAAATAGAATAAGTACACACTTGAATATTAAGAAATATTCACTTGCCAAGTGTGGTGGCCCACCCTTATGATCCCAGAACTCAGGAAGCTGAGGCAAGAGGATGGGCACAAGTTCAAGGCCAGCCTTGACTACACAGTGAGACCCTGTTGGGGGTGGAATTAAATGGGCTATATGCCAAAAGAAAAAATAAACAGTTCACATCACAAAAATACCACCGTCAGGTATCACTCTAACTCCACCAAAATGGGTACATTTTTTAAAAAAAGAAAGAAAATAACTTTCCTCCTAACACAGAACAACTCTCATATATTGCTAGCAAATACACAATTTCGCTCAGCCACTTCAGAAAACTGCTTGACAGTATTTGTTATGCTAAACACGAACCTCATGACTCAACATAGGTATATATTCTTTCCTAGGTATATATCCAACATAAATGAGTGCATTCCCCCAAAAGACAAGTATACAATCATAGCAACTTTACTTGGAATACTCCCAAACTGGAACCTAAATACCCATCGAGAGTAAAGTGAATAAATAAATCATGGTGACAAATTTATATACTGTATTAGTTCATAGCAATGGGAAAAAAAGACATAAAACATGGATGAATTTCACAAATATGATATTAAAGTATATCATTCCATTTACATGTTTAAAAAAAGGCAAGGTTAACTCAAGGCAAAAAAGCTAGAATGGTACTAAGAAGGGCCAAGAGAGCCTTCTAAGAAGTAGAATTTTTCTTTATCTTAATCTGGGTGATGACATGAGTATAATTATGTAAAAGTTCATTAAACTATATATATGCTAAAGATTTATAT